TTGCGGCCAATGAAAGTGCTTAATTTGGAATCTTATCTATAGGAGGGGTAAAATGGGCACTTTGGGTTGAAAATTTCATGGATGGTCGACTGGGAGGTTTAGAAAGGTGTTGGTAGAGCTTGGGTGTCTTGGAAACTTTGCCATGATGAAGATATTAGATTAAGACTGTTGTAGTGAATGAGAGGGCTTGATTTGGAATCTCATCTATAGGAGGGGTAAAATGGGCATTTTGGGTCTGAAATTTGATGGATGGCTGATTGTGGGATTTAGAAGGGTGTTGGTAGGGTTTGGGTGTCTTTAGAGTTGTGTTGCGATGAAAATCTTGAATTGGGATAATTGCGGCCAATGAAAGTGCTTGATTCAAAATCTTATTTGTGAGAGGGGTAAAATGGGCATTTTGAGTCTGAAATTTGATAGATGGTTGATTGGGAGGTTTGGAAAGGTGTTGGTAGGGTTTGGGTCTTGGAAGTTGTGCCACAATGAAGATCTTAGATTAGGATAATTTTTTTGATAGATTAGATTAGGATAATTGTGGCCAATGGAAGTGCTCGATTTGGAGTCTTATCTATAGAATGGATGGTGAAATGCTGCATCCAAATGATATTAAGGTCCATTTATCACCATCTTCACATAACAATAAAATGACACATTCACATTCAATAATGCCTTAAAATGATAAAATAGTCCATAACACATTCAAATGATTTTAAAGTCAACTCAGTTCAAATCAGAGAAGAAGAACTAGGAAATGAAAGGGTGTGTTCACCTTAGTCACATGCCCAGAAATCATTAACTTATATATGAACAAGGTTAAGGAAAGGACAGTTGTGCCCTTCTCTTACAAGAAAGAATAAAACAAAGAAAATGTGTACATAAGTTACAACATAAAAGAGTGGTCCCAAGAGCCAAAAAAGGAAAGAAGATGTAAGAGACATAAATCAGCCTCTACATTTAATAGTAACACAGTCCATAACAGTAAATGGCATAATAGTCAAATGTTACATCAACTGATAAAGTCCATAACATTAAAATGATACATTCGAATGACATAACAATCCATTAGCACCATATTCATATATACATTCAAATGGTACATTAAAATACAGTCCATAATAGGGGAAATATGATACATTTGGATGGAGTTTAATAGGGGAAAAATCATACATTTGATGGGATTTAAATAGATAATAGAGGTCGAATGTAGAGAGTTTCAGATGACATACATAAGAAGAGGGGTCTGTACACCAGACTTGTAGAAGAAGAAGATTAGGGTTTACCTAGGGTTTGGAGTTGAGAGAGTTGAGAGTTGAGAGAGAGAGACAAGAGTCAAGGTCGAGAGTTGATGGTTGTTTTGCCCCAAAAGCCCAAACTCTTTTATTATTCTTTTTATTTTTGTACTTTGTGATTTCGTCCCTAAGGCTCAATTTGGAAGGAGTACAAATACAAATATGTACAGTACAAATACATACAAAATAATACAAAATACAAGGTTTTGCGCTCTACACATTTGTATTTGTACTCCTTCCAAATAGAGCCTAAGGCTCAGTTTGGAAGGAGTACAAATACAAATATGTACAGTAGAAATACATACAAAATACATAGTTTTACACCCTACATATTTGTATTTGTACTCCTTCCAAACTGAGCCTAAAGTGGCTTTTGTTTTTTGGACTTTGGCTTCCAGAATTAGTCGCTACCAAGCAAAGAAAGCTAAAGCAAAGCTACTGTAGCCCAACCCCTCAAGATTGAGTCCATAGAGACTTCCTTGAACTCCCTCCTCTATTGGTACCCAGGGTCATGAAAAGAACACAAGAGAAGGGTCTCAAAGAATCTAAAACCCAAATTCTTGAATAGAAAACAACTTGAGATAAGAAAATATCTCCTAGAAGGTTTATCAAATTGAACACATTTCCATTTATTTTTATTTTTATTTTTGATTGTTAACTGTATCAAAATTTTATTGATTATGAGAGAAAAATTTATGCATAATGTGTTATACAATCAAATTGTCCTAGCTAAGCTAGTTAGCCCTGTTCTTTACATCATAATTGTTGCTGCCAATTGTGGAGCCAAGGGCAGCTTGTTAACTTCCAAGGTCTGAAAGCCAAGGGTCCTACCTACTAAGAGTGAAAAGGCATTAGAGGCCCTGGTAATGTTCCCAGGGGCGAGGACTCTGACAGTCAAGTTATCCGAGGGCTGTGAAGGGAAGCCGAGGTCACAGCAAGAGAATAATGATTAGCTCAAGTGTGTGTAAGTGTACCTTTAGGTTGTGGTGCCCCTTTTATAGTCAGAGTCGCCTGAGAGAGGAGTGATTACTAATAAGTAGCCGTCCCGTGAATTGCAGTCACGAAGAGGGCAGCCAAAGAGCCGTCGGCCGATCACTATCCCTTCATAAGTGTGTTGGGAGTAAATATGCCGAGAACGTGGTGCCTACACATTAAATGCTCCCACAGTAATGATTCGTGGGAATTACCCTGTTGCCCTTGGACGAGTGCAAAATGGCGGGAATACTCTTGCGTAGTGCCATGTGTCAGCATCTGGTGAATCGACTGAATATGCCTATATCAATTATGTACACTTCCCCAAAACAAATGTGTTCTGCTTGCACCTTGTTTCACTATTGAATGTGCCAAGCTGTTAGCAGATTTTTGTACCCAATTTACAGTGATCTCCATCTCCAAAAATAGATGCAAAATTTCCTTCATCTCATTCCTATAAAGCCAGTATTCTTGCTTCTTGTATTTTAACTGGCCCAGTATTGTCCTTTGAGTCTCCTATGATCAAACTTCTGAAATCCAGTAGTTTACCTAGCCTTAACCATTGTAATTACAAGCAGTTCTCCTCTAATTGAGTCTCCTCTTCCAACTGGTCCTGAGAAGCATGCATTTCTCCATTACTATTCCTGAATACTCACCGTATACCTGAATTGCCTGGATTTCATCAATTGAAACCATCAAAAATTAACTTAACTCAATTGATGGGTGGCAGTCACCATTCTAGTTGAATAGTTGTTCTAGAGGTAGATGAGTATGCCATCTGCTGCCAGCCCCTTAAGATGTCATCTATAGAGAAAGGTTCAAATATATTTATAGTTTATCAATGGTACCACTTTTACAGATGTTTTCAATCAAACTTTCCTTTGGCTGTGGTTTTTCCATATATATCCTTGCGTTTCTAAAACCAAAGTCCCAAGATTTGGACATGGATTAATATTTGTCCTTTGAAGCTTTGACATATTCATCAAACAAATTCACAATGGCAATGACATCACATATTTGTTGAGATTATGAACCTTATTGATCATTTGGGAGGGCTTCTCTTTCAAAAATTAACTCCTGTAAAAAGAATTTGGACTAACAAGGGGTGAATAGAGATGACTTGTTTTGGGATGGAGAAGGAAATCCATGATGTATGCAGCTTCCGTTTTGGGCATCCCAATCTCTGGGGGGTAGCCATTTCTATATTTATCTCCTTTTTTATATTAATAAACTGTTGTTGTCATTCACAAAAAAAGGACCTATGAGTCTGAGGGGTCCTTCAATAATACCTGCTTTTGTTGAGCCCTTTCACCTTCTAATTCTACTATGGTTTTCTCAGTGAAAGCAATTTGGTTGGTGTCAATTCCACAAAAAATGAAGGCCCTTTTTTGGGATATGATTCACCTTAAACTCAATAACTGTGAGGCCCTCTAATGAGAAACCAAAGACCCCTCCTTTCCCCTCAATAGGTGTACCCTTTGTAAGGTTTATAGAGAAATAACGTATCACTTGCTACCCTCATGCCCATTTGTTAATAATTTTTGGGATCATTTTGCCCTCTCTGCAGAGATTGACAACCTATTTAGAGACCACTTGATAACAGTTGTAGTTGCTGAACTGAACAACAGTGGATAATATAATTTTTTTTGGCAGTGGATAATATAATTAAATAATAGAATTTTAGAGGGTATAGAAATCAGCCCATCTCTAGCTTCAATCATTAAGGAGTTCAAAACCTACATAAGAAAACTCTTTCTATCAGAATAGACAGCAGAAGGATAGATCACTGATCACTTAGAGGAAGAAATATGAAAGCAGGGGGCAGGGGGGGGGACTTGGCTACAATCAGAAATCACTAAACCTAGTCATGTTACAATAGAATATATCTGTGATTTCAAGTTCATTGAGTACTATAATATGCTCATTTTCTACTTTCTTGCTGTACTTATCATTATTGTTTCTCTAATAAAGTTTTTGACCTAAAATATCTATAAAATAAATAAAAAAACATCAACAATACAAGAACTTGGTGCAGGCTTTATATTCTAATGCATTGGCACCACAAGGATAAAAGTTCTGGAACAAAGCAATGTTAGCCATACCAACTTCTCTTAAATGCCTAAGCTTTCCCATTTCTGATTACCTAGAGCTATTCTTCATCCCACCAAATCTTACTTCTGTTCTATCCAAACATCTACAAACATAACCTATTTGAACAGTGGGTAATTAATGTTGTCATATTCAGTGATAATGACAAGACCAATTGCCTAAGGCATCAAGGTTTGTAGACTCTCACTGTAGTCTAGAAGTTGTTGCCGAAGCGAGTGATCCTCTCTTGGGCATGAAACTTATTCTCTATTCATTCAAGTTTGTGAAATTTATATGCTAACAGAAGCAATGACCTTGAAAGGTGTTCTATTCTTTCTAGGAGGGAATCATATAGTCTGTTCTATAGGGCTACAGGATTAAATGGAGATTCTTCAATGCCTTTACTGCATTCTTAAGGGTAGTTTAACAGTCTACAACTCTAGATGGTTGCTATTTTTCTTTTAATTTTCGTAGTTTAGAATATTTTAGTCCTTAATTGGTGGTAGGTTCCTTCAAAAATGTACAGATGCTTGTAATCTATCGTCTGTTTATACATGTTTTATTTTACTTTGAAGTAAAGATAAATATATTTAATTTATGCTTGTTTTTGATTTATTATTTACTCAATTTTTTTCTTTTTTTTTTATCTGTCAGGTACTGGTTATCTGTTGGTGTCCAACCTTCAGAACCTGTTCAGCGCATTCTTTTCAGGGCAGGGCTTCTACCGCCACCACCAATGCTTGCAATGGGCCACAAAGGTGGACCCCGTGATACCCGTCAAGTTGATCCTTTGAGTGGACGCTTTGTTAACCCTGCAAAATCTGATGTTGCTGATCAAGCCGGTGAAGAAATTAATGCAGAAGATGATAGATATGACTCATGATAGGCTCAGCTCTTCTCGATGTGTGTTATTTTTTTGGGATTCTGTGGGGTTTCAGCCACCCTAATTCCTACTCAACTTGCAGGATGAGTGGGTTTAATTTTGTCACCACTTCAGAATATAATATGCTGAAGCGAATCTGAGTTCTGTAAAAGAGAAAACTTTTGAAGGATTTTAGTTCTTCGTGTTCTGCTAATTTGACGGCTTGGTTGAGAATTTGATACTTTCCTCTCTATATAGGGAGATCATGGTTTGTGACTTACTTTTTATATCTTGAACCCACAATCGTCCCTTTGTGTGTGAAAAGGAGGTCTGGTTTCACCTTTCTTTTATCTGATCTGCTTTTTTTTCCCTTTTGGATAAGAGGAATAATCTTATATTTATGATGTCACCTTATGTAGTTATGATTCATTTTCTCCTGCCAAGTGTCAATTATCACAATAGCCTTACTTCATATGACTATTTCCATATTTGGTTCTTATTAGATGTTTTGACTTGTATATGCTATTTGGCTATAGTGTCCATCTCAGAATGACCAATTGATTTTGATGTTTTGAAATCTTGGGTCAGGGCCGAGAGACCATATGATGATAGCCTGATACTGATAGGGTCAAGTTTCACCCCCCCCCCCCCCTGATGAGGGCTTGTTTCTAACCATTCGATTGGTCAGATGAGACTTGGCCAATGGAAGCTGGTGTATGAGTGCAAAGTAGATTCCACTCAGAAAAGCCCCCTCATGTGAAGGATCCTTGTCTCAAATCCCTATGATGATTCTGATGAGAAAGCAGAAAGAGGAATCAATGACTATATCTATCTGTTACATGTGACAAGAAAGGTATTGCTTCTCCTTGAGGCCACCTGAGTTACAGAAATCAGAAAAATACTAAACCCAAATGAGTGAACTTTGGCTGAGGGAATTGGCCAGGCAACGTAAGTCTCATGCTTCCTTACATGGGTAGCCTACTATTCCTTCACCTCACCTGAAAACCTTAAAACTGAAACCAGAGAAATGGTTCCTCCCTCTCAACCAGTTGCTCAAGTCAAGCCAAGGGAACTTCTTGGGCCAGAAAGTTGCTGGAGTATTAACCATGAGAATCATGGCAACCTTGAACCTTGCTGGACTCTTTCTGATCATTGCCATCTCCCTCTTCTCCTTCTCGTTGGCTTGCACCTTCACTGTAACGAACAATTGCCCACACACAATCTGGCCAGGTACACTGGCTGGCGCAGGGACACCACAGCTTCCAGCAACCGGATTTCAACTAGATTCCGGTGGAAGTGTCAGAATTGAAACGACTCCAGGTTGGTCGGGTCGGGTTTGGGCCAGGACAGGGTGCACATTTGATGAATCAGGAGTTGGGACATGTGAGACAGGGGACTGTGGGGGAAGGTTGGAGTGCAATGGCAATGGTGCCACACCACCTGTGTCGCTTTTCGAGATCACGCTTGGAAAGGGCAGTGACAAGGATTTCTATGACGTTAGCATCGTCGACGGGTACAATCTGCCACTAGTTGCGGCACCACGTGGAATCTACGGTGGCTGTAATGCCACCGGTTGCGTGTCTGATCTCAATACAGGTATGATGAACTGTTCTGCTAAAGCTTATGATGAATGGTGAATTATGCTACTGAACTTTCCCAAACAAGAGTAGTGTGGGCCTGATATGTTAGACCCTAAGAAGCCCATCATCGATTAATTCCCTCCATTTCAAGCCACATCCACCATTGAGTATCAGGGTAGGAAGTTGGCCACCTGACCACTGTCTAAAAACCTAACAATGACCTGAAATTGAAGGCAGATCCAGCTGCTTAGTTAGTTTTGATGTTTTATGATCTTATGAAATTACATATCTATTGTTGAAGTTTAAAAAATCAGTAATGAATATTTGCTTTTTTAAGCATAAAAAAAAAAGAAAAATTGCTTCCCATTTTCATACTTGATTGAAGTTTTCTTTATATATTTTTGCTTAATAAAAATTCATAATTTTCATCAATTAACACCTAAAAATAGCAATTTAAATCATACACAAGACCTTTTGTAAGATCTTTTAATCCAACTGCTCATAATTTCATTGTTCTCCTGGTAAAAAATGTAAAGAACTAAAGATTGTGGGTTTGTGATCTGCATGTGCCATTCTTTCAACACAAGTTGTTTTAGTGTTGGTCGATTAGAGTTTCTTTTTATTTAAATAATCACTTTAGTCTTCTTTTCTAGACGGCCCATCTGATTTCAGCCATGAAGAGAGACACGTAGCTGATCTGGACTGTCTAATAAAGAAATCACTTTGTTTCACTTTATCACTTCCTAGTTCACATTAGTTCTAACCCCCAAATGTGGTTGGATGTCTTCTAAGGATGTTTAGCTTATGAACCCTGAATCTTCGGCTTTCCATCTAAATCCTAAACCCCGACAAATAGCTTAGCACCTCTTAAGGGGCTTGGATGTCTTCACCAGCTTTCTGCAAAAGCATCTATTTCATTGCTTATCATCAAGGTTGTCTTTCAGTTTTAATGGAAAGCCCACTTGGCTTTCTGGGTTTTTTCTTTTTATAACAATGATCAAACATGGCTTTTCAGATTTCTAGGCCTTGACATGCCAAGTAGCTATATATTCCGTGTTTCTACTTTCTAGTAATGCGTGCCTTGCTTTCTGCATTTTTCACCAAGCATGGTTCGTCAGCTTTCATGTGGGTCCATCCTGAAAAGCCTTAAAGCCACGTGGAAAAGCCCATCCAGACGTGTTCTTAGTTTATCTAACCACGTGGCACAGGATGTTTGTCAAAAAACTGCAGAATGGATAGGAACTCAGACTTGTATTACCAAATAGAAAAATACCAAATTTTGATCTTCAAAAGAACCCATAAAGAGACTTGCCAAACGCCTCCTATATTTGTTAAGACCGGCTTCTAACAACTTTTCTAAGATATCTTAAATCCTATCTAAAAGATTCAAATTCAACTTCTCTGGTTTCTATTTTAGTCAGTTCAAGAGAAGTCAGTTCTTTGTTTGTTAAGAATAGTTTTAGTTTGAAGTAGAATTTCTTACTTGTAATAACTATATTATTTAGGTAATTCATTAAATAAAATAAATAAAGAGTGCATGTTGTGGGGGGAGTAGAATTTCTCATCCAACTATTCCTGTTGCACAATAATGCATCAAGAGTCAAGAGTATATTCACTTGTTATAAGAACATAATGAGGAACTCTGATCAATCAATTATCTGATTCTGAATTCAGGTTGCCCAAAAGAGCTGCAGGTTGTGGGGGGAGTGGAGTCAGGGGGTGTGGTAGCATGTAGGAGTGCATGTGAGGCATTCGGTCTGGATCAGTATTGCTGCAGCGGGGAGTATGCCAATCCAACAACTTGCAGACCTTCATCCTACTCAACCATCTTTAAGACAGCATGCCCAAAAGCCTACAGCTATGCATTTGATGACAGAACAAGCACTTTCACTTGCAAAGCCTATGAATATGCCATCATTTTCTGCCCCACAGGAAACGGGTACAAGTCTCTCTTCCAACTAGGTGTCAAACATTGCAATGTTGTAGACATGACTGTGCCGGACCGGAAACCGGCAGCCGAAATGGCGGTTTTCCTGCCTGGTTCTTAGAAATGTTGGCTTGGTTAGACTTACCCATTTACATGTGTTTAGAGCTGCAACTTGGGTTGCTCAATTTGAAGAAATTCAATTACATTGGGCTCAGATTAGGGTTGAAAATTTAACAATTTCCCAACCCAACCCAAGTTGCACCCCTAGCTACATGTATTGATATATGATATGGGTAATAGTAAAACCCTCTAATATTTATTTTGGTGTGAAATGGCTTTAAAAGATAATGGAGAACCATTTTTGTCTGAATGAGTCGAGTTGTTAAAGTGTTCAACCATCTGGTTGAACCATTATGACCCAATCATCAAAACGGTTCTCTGTCCGGTCCATGCCATGGATGGCAAACCCAAGTCTTATAAGAAGATGGAATTTTCCATCTTCCCATCCTGATGCCAGTACTCATCTGAGCACTAACTCATCAGTTGAGTTCATCACCTCCATTGTTGTTCTGTGCAGGCAGATGAGATCAAATGGTTTTGTCACTGCCCCTGCAGTCCACAAAAACAGCTATGGCGAAGTTGGGGGGATGGTTTCATCATCAAGCACTCTATCATTCCCGATGTTGATGTTTCTCCTTGTCATCCTAAACTATTTGTAGGCAGCCCTGAGCTTGATGCCTTCCTGTCATGGCTGCTCCGACAGGTCGAGAGAACTTCACATTGTTTCCTGCTACAAGCAGAAACTACTGCATCAAGGCACAACGCAAAGATGGATCTGAAACTGACAAATGGTGTAGAAGTTCTCTAGTCCTGTTTCAAGTGCAGCACTCAATGATTCATTAGGCACAACTCTGTACAATTTTCACCCATTTTAATTTAGTTATATTAATGTCATAAAAGCACATCCGTCAGGTTAGCAAAGAGGAGTTGTGTCAGTTGGTTCGTTTCAAAGCAAAAGCTCAATGTAGTTATTCAGATCAGGGCACCAATGTAGTAAAATATCAGTTTATTAGTTTCTATTTCAGTTCCTCTGAAAAAATTCACTTTCTCTGCAAATCTGAGATTATGTTTAGGCAAAGCCTATGGTGCATATTAATCAATGAAAATTAAGTAAATCATGTGATGTTCTTAATGTGATTGATTGAAATCTTGATTTAATGTGTAATAAATCAATGAAGTCTTATCTTTATCTGACTCAATCAAACATTTTGCAGTGATCCACATGCAAACTCTGTTTACATATTACAGAGCCACATCACTTCAGATTTCAGAACTGCTCAATAGAAACCTGATCCAAGAATACTACTCTTATCAAGATCCAGGCCCAGTTCATAATTGGTCAGACTAGTCCTAAAATTTACTAGAAGTTCATCAAGGATTGATACCGTTACAAATACATATTTGAAAGTCCAATTGCCTAAATCAAGAGGACCAACATTGGTCTTCAATGGAATGGCATTATGGGATAACAAAGGAAAGGCAGTACTACCCAACTTAGAATTTAACATTCTGGGTTTGCGGGGAAAAGTTGGGCTCTGTTAAGTGTTAACTGATCAATTCTCATTTTCAAACGAATTGGGTAAACTATTAATAGGATCCTATGCATAGGGATGCAAATGGATCAGATATTGAACTGATCTGATTGAACCCAATCAATTTATTCGGATATCCTTTAAATCTTAACAAACCGAATTTGAATCTGGAAAATGAGTATGTTTTGTTAATGGATCAAATTCAAATATACCCCTAATTTGATCCTTATGATCTGATTGATCCAATTATAATTATAATTATAATATATATATGTGTGTGTGTTGTATGTATATATGTATATGTATATGTATATGTATATATATACACCTCATCATGTCTGGCCCACCCCTCTTTCCTCTATGTTTATCCCTTCCTAAAACTAGAGATCAAACCAGCCCCCCACAATGTCCCACAGCGCATCCTCGCCGTGTATTGGGAATATCTCCAATGATAATACCAGAAATGATGATGTTATCATTGGGAGATGCTCCCAATACACGGCGGGGATGTGCTGTGGGATGTTGTGGGGGGCTGATTTGAACTCCTAAAACTATTCCTAAAATCTCTCTCTACCAAAATCTAATCTAATCTAGCCAAGTGGCACCACTATCCCTCACTTTCTCCTAAATTATCTATAATTCCTACTTATCTCCTAAATTATCTCTAATCACTATTTATCCTCTCCCCCACTTTTCATCTATATCTATCAAAAGAAAGTTTGAAATAAAAAATTTAAGAATTATTTAAATATTATAAAAAATTATATAATATCTTTAAAATATTTATTAAAAACACAAAAAATATCATAGATTTAATAATATTCATATTATTAATAATTTTATACTTTTACGAAATTTATAATGAAATTATGTACTAACAATATAAATTATAATTTTACAAATTATTCAATTGAAATAATATTCAGATAATAAAAAATTAAAATTTAAAAAATTTAAAAACTAAATATTATATAGCAAAATATTTAATATTATGTAATAACTTTAAAATAAATAAAAATAAAAAAAAAACAAAATTGTGTAATAAACTTAAAAAAATTTATTAAAAGTAGAAAATCGTTATAATAGATCTCATAATAGTTGAATTAATAATAATTTTCTATTTTACAAATTAATAACAAAATTATGTAATAATAGTATAAATTATAATTTTATGGATTATGAAATTCAATAAATAAGTAATATTGAAATAACAAAATAGTGATATTATTTAAATAGATGAATAATATTGTAAATTGCTAATTTTAAATATTTGAGATATTAAAAAAATTAATAACTAAATCATATTTTAAAAATTATTTAAAAACAAATAAAATAGATTAAATACAGAAATTATGTAATAACCTTAAAAATTTTATCAAAAACATAAAAACAATTATAATAGATTTAATAATATTTGATAATATGAATATAAAATATAAATAATTTAAAAAAAAATTTAAATTTTTTTGAAATAATGAAAATAGATTAAATGATTTATAGGTATTTAACCTTTGAAATAACAAAAATAGGTAATAACTTTCAAAAAGAGTTTTTAATAGATATAAAAAAATACAATAGTAAATGCAATTATTAATGTACTAATAAGAAAAACATTATTTAACTTATATGGATTAATAATTCTAGAAAATAACTTTCAGAAAATTGATACTTATTAATAATAATTCCAAAATCTTAATATATATTTATGATATATTTATATGTACTAAAATTTATATTTAGTAACTGTTTATTGTATTTTTGTGATAAATATTTTCAATATTTATGTATAAATATATTTTTGTTTTTAGTATATATATATATATATATACTACAATAGAAACCTGTCACGTCATGGCTTGAGCTTTCTCCCTTACCCTAATTGAGAACTCTCGGGCACTCTTCATTTTGGCCTTTCTTGCTCCCTCGTTAAGCCACCTCATCACTCCCTTCTTTCTCTCTCATAATGAATTATTTAATTTATTTAATTCATTAACAATATTAGTAATACATTATTCAATGGTATTTATTAATCAATTATGTAATTATTTAATTAAATACCATAATTAATAAAAATATTGTTACAAAAAATACAAATAATATTGTTAAATTATTAAATAAATTAAATAATTAAATAAATACTATAATTAATAACAAATATATTATTACAAAAATACCATAATTATGGTGTTTATTTATTTATTTTATGCATTTTGGTAATTTTGGTAAGCTTGGGGGTATTTTAGTCAATTCAGGTTCAAGGAAGCTAAAACAAAATTCTAATCTAATGGTGGGTATTTTGGGTTAAAAATGATGGGTGGAGATGGATTTGAGTTTATACAATGGTTTTGCATGTATAGGCAAATAAGGGTATTTTTGAAAAAAATTTTATAGGGTGGCGTTTTTAGGCATTTTGAATCAATTGGTGGGGTCAGATCGGCCTACATAGGCTCAGATTAGATAGATCTAGAGGAGTAGTGATTGAGTTAATTTATTAACTTTGAAATAGAATCGTGGTGTGGTGGATGGGAAAATGAGGGATTTTTTTTTTTGTTAAAATTTGGTAGGGTTGTGGTTTTGAGCATTATGGGTTGATTGGTATGGTCAAATTGGCCCAATTATGCCAAGATTGGGCAGACTCGGAAAGGACTTGATCCAGTCAATGTGAAGCTATGAAACATAATCTTGGTGTAATAGAGGGGAAAACAAAGGTATTTTGGGCTGAATTTTTGTGGGTAGGGTTTTTAGGGTGTCTAGGATCTTATGGAAACACCTGGTTGATTTTGGAGGGCCAAAATCACGAAAATTTGGGTCAATGAGAATTTATGGATACATGTTCTTGGTGTGTCTAGGGTTCAATTGTATGGTCTAATTATTTCATAAGTGTTAGGATCAAGGAGATTTGGGTTGTTGCTCCTTCAGGCTAATGAGAAGGTTCGAAAGGGAATCTTGGTTTGATAAAAGAATAAATGGAGAGGAATCTAGGGTTAAAATTTTAGGGGTAGATATTTTAGGAGGTCCTAGGTTTGATGATGGTGTTTGGGGATTTTTAGGTACTTCGGAAGGATCAGAACGATCTAATCGGGTGTTCAGGGTAAATTAGGGTTTCGACGACGAATTGAGCAAAAATCAGGTGCTGACAATGGGGTTTCTAGAGGTATTGGTCTCTTGAATCATTTGATGAGGTTTGATTGGTCCATAAGTGGTATGATCAACAACATTTAAGAAATGAATATCTTGGCCAATGAGTAGCCCAAATTAAAATCTTAGTGTGATGAAGGGTTAAATGGGGGATATCTATGATGAAATTTTGTGGTAAGGTGTTTATAAGTATTTAGGGCTCTTTAAAAGCCCATTAACTCTAATTTGCAATTCGGTTAAAAAACTTAAACTTAAAAATTAAGTTTAAATTTAAAAATTATAGTAACATTGTTAAAAAATAAATTAATAAGTTTAAATTTACAATATAAAATATTTTAAACTAAGAAATATGGGAATTTTCCCACTTTCCCGTATTAAAATAATTATATTTAAAATATAATAATAATATATATCTATGGTTGGGTTGGTTCAACTTTGGTTGGTTTCATTGGTTTGATGAACAACCCTAGCTGAAATTAATTATTATTATTATTATTATTATTTTTTTGTATTGCAAAAAAATTACAAATATTATATAAAATATATATAAATACTTATTAATTACTTAAAAAGTTAAAATATAAAACAATTGTTTACTCTTATGTATTTCTATTGCTTAATTTTTGCTTGACAATGCACAGGTCCCTACTAGTATATAATATACTATTAATCAAATCAAATTATTACCAATAAAAATCAAATCAAAATTTAAGGTTAATCTTATACAACCAAATTGAGATGTACCCCTATCCTAATTCAATTTGTTTTATTTGAATCCATACCCATACAAGAGATTTACATGCAAAGAAATGAGATTGAACAATTCAAGGTTGTATGACTTATATCTGTATTTGTTTTCCCCAAATCCTACTTCTATCCAATCTTTCTCAAGTTGCATACGACTCTTGGTATTAGAGCTCTTGGTCATTTCATGCTATGATGACTAAAATTGGCAAAAAAAATAATCACCTTGGCATTAGAGCTTTGTTTAGTATCAACTATGACTATAAGAACTGTTAGGTTATTGTGCGGGGCTCATAAATCCGCAATGTATGTCTTTTTTCTTGGGTGGTCCAATTAAAACGATAGAAAGTACACATATCCAAAAACAAGAAGTTTATAAGTAATAAGTTTTGGCATTAATTTAACCATTAAATAAAATAATAACTAATCAACTAACAATTGTACATAAACATTTTACATTTCATGTAAACAAACCAATTGAGAAGAAAGGAAACAACTAAGTTGATTTGATATATAATAATAATAATAATAATAATAATAATAATAATAATAATAATAATAATAATAATAATAATAATAATAATAATAATAATAACAATAATAATAATAANTAAT